CTGTTTTTTTATACAAGAGGTTATCTTTAATCTTAAAATATTTTGCTTGGTTCTGGAGTTGCTTTCTTTAATAAGTAGTAAAGTTCATAGGTATAGTTTCCGTGTTTAAATAATTATATAAATTATAATATTAATCTAAATTCATAGCATTATATTTAATCAGATTCTTGATAAAGTATCCACATTTAAGTGAATTCTCTTAGGTTTATGCACAATTGTGAAATTATAAGGTTGGAGTTTCAAAATCCATTGTCTAATTTGTTTTTTTGGTTTAGTAGTTTTAAGCTATTTTAATATAAGTAGTCTGTTATGAAGATAAATTCAGTAGTTCCCAAATAGCTATAAAAATATTCTATGGCCCATACTATAGTAGTATATTCAAGTTCTGTTGTAAAATAATTCTGTTCAGCAGATTGAAAATTTTTACTTGTATAAGCAATAGGGTGCTCCTTGCTATCTCTATCTTTTTGGCTAAAAGTAGCTTCAAATCTATGATATAAGGCATCTGTAGCAAGTATAAATCTCTTGCTAAAATCTAGATAGGCTAATATAGATGCTGTTATAAGTTTTTCTTTTAATATATCAAATGCTTGTTGTTGTTTACTTTCCCAATGATAGAGTACATCTTTATGCAGTAGTTGATTTAATAGTTGAGCTACTAATAAAAAATTTTAGATAAATTGTTGGTAATATTCAACAAGTTCAAGGAACGATCGCAGTTTAGTTGTAGTAGTTGAAGGTGGGATCTTTTGTACTGTTTCTACTTTTGCTAGATCTGAGGCTATCTCATTTTTACTAATAATATGTTCTAAGAAAAGCAAAAATTTCATCTAGAAATTATACTTTTCTATATTAAGTTTTTAATCTTGCATCTCTAATATGTCTAAATACTATTTTTAAATATTCTAAATGTTTTTCAAATATTCTAGAAAATATATTAGTATCATCTAGATACACAACTACAAATTTTCAGACAATTCCTCTATAAACTTGATCTATTAATTATTGAAATATAGCAGAGGTATTGCAAAGTTCAAAGAGAATAATATTAAATTCATATATCCTGTACTTTGTAATAAATATAGTTTTTTCCCTATCTTTTAGATCCATTTCGACTTGCCAATATCTACTGGCAAGATCAAGAGTCAAAAACTATTTTGATCTTGATAAAATATTTAGTATTTCTTGGATTCAAAGTAATAGATAAGTATCTTTCTTAGTAATTCTATTAAGTTTTCTATAATTAACACAAAATTTTAGTTTGCTATTCTTTTTCTGTACAAAAACAACAAGGGATGCCTATGGGCTTTTTGATGGTCTAATTATTTTACTTTCTAGCTTTATTCTTATTTCTTCTTTGATAAAAATTTGTTCATCTAGGATATATTATAAAGTCAAGATTTTATTGGGGGTACATCTTCTATATAAATTTTGTGCTATACTAGGTTGATACATCCTAGTTTTAAAATATCTTTTGCAAATAGCATCAGAAAACTTTTTAAACTGATAAATATTGATTATTATCTAGAGTTACTAATTGATTAGTAACACCTCTACTAATGGAAATCAATATAGATAGAAATCAATAGTTATCAATTATAAAGTTTTATTTATATTGATTTTTATTGTTAGAGATATTACTAATTGATTTCTACTTACTATATAAACATGAAATAATACTCAGGGATGTTAATTCAAAAATCAGTTACTTCTAAAATAGTATATGTAGTCTCAAATTAATGCCCATACATGTTCCAAATTAACGCACACCCGATATAACCTGCAATCGATTAGTATAACAAACTGTTGTATCACTTACCCAGCCACAACAATATTATTTAGTATCCAATTAATAATAATTTGCAATGCATGTTTAGAGATTAGAACCGATGAATTTCAAGCATCAGTTGAATATTTATTGAGTTTTTTTTAATTTAGCATACTATTGAATTTATTAATTGCTTTTTTTTTGCACTAAAAAATTTATCAAATTTGTATTTATAAATTTATCACTATCAAAACAGTTAAATTTGATACTTGATGATAGCTGAATTAAAACTTAATGAAAGCTTATTTCAATACTTGAAATTTTTATAATCAAATAACCTTTATGCACAATACAATGATAGCATTATGAATTTCTCATTTCAAGCTTTATTAATATATGAATACCATCTGCAAAACAATAAGTTTAAAAAAAAAAATTTAAAAATTGAAACAAAATCAAAAAAAAAATTTAAAAGAAATTTTTTTTTAAAAAAAAAAAAAAATTAAAATAAAAATTAAAAGAATTTTTTTTTAATAAAAGAAAAATTATATAAAAGAAATTTTTTTTTTAAAAAAAAAAGGAAAAATTGAATAAACTTTTTTTTTTAAAAAAAAAATCAAAATCAAAAAAAAATCTTGTATCTCGTCATGCCACGCATAAAAAAAAAGATGGCCTTATTTATATCATCCTCTTCAGATTTAATTCTATTTGATAAATAATGTGAAAATTTCATAATATTGTGGTACAACTCCATATAATGGGCTATCAGAAAATTGATGGCTTTTAGATTAGGAATTAGTTAGCAATTTATATGAAGTTTTCTTTATTAAGTTACCTTCTCAATAATCAATATCCATCGTATCTTCAGATTTGCCATCTGACACATCCTTATCAAGTTCATTAGGATTCGAACTACTGTCTGAATCTTTCTTATTCATGGATTCATTTTCATGATTCTCTTCATCAAGAGTTACTTCATCTATACAATTTGCGATAATGGCTTGAAGGCGACTTGACATTTTATAATCTTCACTACCATTAGGATTAAGTGTAAGTCCAGATGCCTCAAAAGATCTAACCAACAGATTCATACTAATTTCTCTCCATGTTTCTGATACTTATACAGAAACTAATTCATATAATGCTTTTTTGCGGTTTTTTTTTGTAGTAAACCTACCTTTCTCTTCCTCCATCCACATTTCTCAACTTTTTGTTATTCCATTCTTGAAAGGCTTGTTTACTGAAACATCGGGAAGTTGAAGAATGCACGTTGTTCTACCAGGAATCTCTACAACATCCAAGCCTTTTATATTTAATGCTTTAACTACATCTTTATAAACATAACTGCAATAACGATCAACAAATATTACACTTTTATTTTTAAAGAATCTATTTGGTTTTGCTTGAATAACATGTGGAATATAAGTAGAGATCATCAAATCCCCTATTATATTTGCACAAGGTGCTGTTGCTACTACAATGTCTTGGGAAAATCTACCTTTTTTAGTTTAAAAATCACAGTAGGTGGAAGTTTTTCTCTAGCTGCAGTATAACCCAGGACTACTGTGAAATGTAGTTTATCATTTCCTGTAGTTTTAATTAACACCTCATGAACGTCTTCAAAATCGATTGTGATATTTTGGGATATGTCAAACCATATTGGCATTTCATCAAAAGAAAGAATAAACTTTTTTTCAATATTTGCTGTTTTTTTACACGTAGTGTTAAGAAAGTTCCTAATAACTAAAGGCATATCCTCTGAAAGCTTCTACACGAGTTGAGTTCTAGTATATTCTACCAATTTATGTCATCTTTTAAAATATTCAACCCAACCACGAGAGAACTTGGCATTCTCAAAATTTAAGGCTTTTTCTAATTTTCTGGTCTTGTATTCAATCATGGAAGTAGTAACTGCATTTTTTTCTTGTCGCTTAGTTTAAATATAAGCCAATAATTCTTTTTCCAATTCAGGGTACTTGGCTTTTCTATCATAGCTACTAAGAACGTGTACTTGATTAATATTCACACTTTGATTATTTTTAACTGCCTCAAGTTTTTCCTTCTGCTTTCTTCACTCTTGAACGCATTTTTGATGAATTTTATAGAACAATAATGCCTTCCAGTCAGATGTAGTTTCTGCATACAATATTATATCAAGTTTAAATGCTATGGTATAGCTTTGTTTAGAAGAAGAGCTTATGTTTATCATAAGTAAAATTTGAATACAAAGAAAAAAAAAAGAATGACATTTTAATTCAAAATAGATCAGAGATAATTTTGTAGTTGGTAATTTTATGATACGGAAAAAAGAAAAAAAAAATTAGTAAAATCAATTGACCAATGAGCCATTAAAGCCATAATAGCTCCAAAGCCAATGTCCTACTCAAGAAGGTCAATTCTTCATGCTTGATGTTTCATAAGAGGTCAACTAAAGGTATTCCAAAGTTTTGACTTTGTAGTTCAAAAAAAGACTTCAAAAAAATTTTTCAAAAAAAAAGTAAAAATTAACCAATGAGTTGATAGAGCCAAGCCATAGTGGCCCCAGAGCTGATGTCCTACTCAAGAAGGTCAATTATTCTTTTCAGTAATAACAAATGTCCAACAGAAGTATTACTTTGTATTGCTTTGCAAGCACAAAAAAGGTTATTCAAAGAAATGTGTTTAAAAAAAAAAAAAATTCAAAAAAAAAAAAAAAATGTATGGAAAAATAATTGTTCAATTATCACTTTTTTCAAATTACTGTGATCAGCAGATTTCCAAAATTATACATCATTAGAAATCTGGAAATCTGGGAATTAGAAATATAAAATAAAAAATATAAATATAAAAAAAATAGTAAATTTAATAAATTTTTGCCTTTTTTTCAAAATAGTTAAGATCTAATGTCAGACGCTGCAAATACAAAACTTAAATATTATCATAGAACTTGTTTTGGATGTAGAAAATGTTTGTACTGTGCAGTATATTTGCACCAGATCACTTGCAATTGTAAAAAATCCTTGGTACCAACAAAGAAAAACAGGACCTCTCAGGTCAAACAAGCATATCCATGTAAATATGAACCTACATGCACAGAACTAAAATTTGAATACATTGATAAAAGAGTCTTGGATTACAATTATCAAATAAATTTAAAAAAATGGTTTAATTCTTCTTTTTAAGCTGCTATAACAATATTTTAAACAAATTGACTTATGCGAAAACTAATACTAAAAAAAAATTATCAAATAAAATGATAGATGTGACAACAGATGAAGTAATGGCTAATTCAACAGATGTGGCAAAGAATAAAACAATAGATGAAATAGATTTAACAACAGATACTTTAAGTAAAACCAATATAATTTATTTATTTATTTATTTTTTTATTAGATATACGTATAAGCTTATTTATATATATATATATATATATTTTTAGGAAGTAATCCCATCACTTTCTTCATCTATATCTTTCTTGACCAATGAAATGACCAGTGAAGCAGTCAGTGAAATAACCAGTAAAGATAGCTTAATAAGTAGCAATGATGATTCTGAATTCGAATTAGGGTATAAATTAATTATCAAAACTGCTAAAAGAATTTTGTTAACAGCAAAATGATTTAAAGAATCAGTGCCGACTGTAGATGAATTTCTTTTATCAATTCATAATAAACTTATTATGTTGACCAAAGATAATACTCTTTTACCAACTGATTATAGCATAGTATTTAAAGCACAAAGAGAAACTGGCGCTAGTATCCAATTAGCTGATGCTCATGATTTTATAAAGTTTAAGATAGAATGTTTAAAGTTAGTTGCAAAAAAAAAAGATATGGGAATTTATATAACAATTATGAAGACGACTCAAATAAAACAAAAAAAAAAAGTAATTTTTTGCACTTTGCAAAAAATAGTGCAACAAATAAACCTGCAAAATTTCATATAAGCCCTAAGAATCCTGCATATGTATTTATTTGTTTTTATTTGTTACACTATTTTTGCAAGGAGTGATAATTAGAATTTTTAACATATCTTATACTAACCAAATATATCAATTAATATAATTACAAAAACAGCTTAGAATACTAACATAGATAATGGTAAAGAAAGAGTTAATTACAAAAATAATAATAAGGTTCCACGTACTTCATCCTTAACTTCAGAAAATAAAGCAATCACTGAGAGTATATTAAAAATCTGAAAAGAATATCATTGTAATATATACAATCAACCTTGTCTATATAAGGAAAGTTATAAAGATTTATATATAAAAATTAACTTTATAATTCTTTCAATATAGGCTTCAGATATTGTAAATTCTACTAATGATAGAAAAAAGTTACAGAATTACAATTTTTATACAGTATTTATATATACTTATATATAGAATAAAGGAATAGCTACGATTAAAGACCCTCTGACGCATCCTCTTTTTTCTCATACCAAGATATCTAAAAAGTTATGCTCTTCTGCATTGTCTTTCTCACAAGCATCATTACTATCCTCTGAAGTACTATTTCCATTCTTTGAAGCACCATCACCATCCTCACAGGCACCATTACCATCTTCACAAGCATCACTACCATTCTCATTCTTACAAGCACTGCTATCATTATTACAAGCACCACATGAAACTTCTCTTCTACCTAATCACTCCCTACTTTCTTTTAAAAACCTTTCTAACTTTCAAAACATTCCTCTTAAATCTCATTACCCAACAAATATACCATCTCTACAAACCTGTGAACTCTCCTTAAATCAACCATCAAACTACCACACATCAAACTCCCCTTCTATCCTTGAATATGCTTCACTTCCGATCAAAATTGCCTCTTTAAACATTAATGGCCTTACTCAAGCTAACAAAAAACTTGCAATCTCAGAAGCTCTCAACAATAATTCCTTCGAAATCCTGGGTCTTTCTGAAACACATCTATCAAACAAAGAAGGAAAATTCTTCAATAGCCAAATCCCAAACTATACCAGTTTCTGGAGCTCCTACTCCTCACCACACCAAGCAGGTGTGGGTATCTTTATTCATCGCAGAATTGCAAAACATATTGCTCGCTCACACAACTACCAAGGCCATATTATTGGTTTAGACCTTCACTTCAAAAATCTAGCAATACGTCTTCTACAAATATACATCCCAACTCAAGAAAAGAAACAACTCCGTAAAGATATCCAAGAATACATTATTAATCTCTCTCAAAACCCCAACTACAAATTAATAATTATGGGTGACTTTAATAGTGTTCCAAATCCAAGGCTTGACCGTTTCCCTCCAAAAAAATCCTCCATACCAGAGTCACAACTTATTAAATATCTTCAAAGCCAACAATACAAAGATATTTATCGTTTCTTCTTCCCTAATACCCATAACTATACATTTAAACGAGCTAACATTCAAAGTAGAATCGATCAAATATGGACCAACTTATCTATCACCAATATCGAATATACTGACATTCTTCCAAATATACTACAAGAATCTGATCACTATATAACAACTCTAGAAATAACAATCATCCTCAACAAAGCAAAACCACCCAAACAACATAAAAGGAAATGCTATCTTTGGAAAAATTGCTCAAAAGAAACCATCCACAACTATGCCTTCCAAACCTCATACAATCTTCAATGTATTTCTCCAAAAATCTAATTAATTACAAACCAAAACGAACTCAACCTCATATGGAACCAAATTCACAAAGCTCTAACTAAAGCAGCCAACAAACATATTCCTTTCAAAAAAATCAGAACAATTAAAGAAATCCAAAATTCCCCATCACCCAAACAATCACCTCTCTTCTACAGATACAAACAAATCCAATTCCTCAAAAATCATTTTTACTCATCCAACTTCTCTAACTTACTTGACCAATATCTAACTCAATATCCTGAAAACTCACTTCAAACCAAATGTCCAACTCACAACCAAATCAAAAATGAATTCCAACTTGTCAAATCCTCCCTTAATCATCAATACCAACAAAACCTATATAATGAAATTAAACAAAAAATAGAAAATCGTGACAAAACCTTCACAGAAATACCCAAGCTATTCTACAAAAACATACTTGGAAAATACAATAATATTAATATTGACCGCCTTCTACTTAACAACACTCTACTAACAGAACACAATGAAATTTTAAATCAAATACACAACCACTTCTTAGAATACTTTTCTGAAAAACCTCTAACTCACTAAGTAAGTGAGAAGACACTACACTGCCGGACGAGCCGCTATCTACGATAAGGGGGATAACTTTGCCACGTATTGTCGTATCACAATATAATGCAGTGGACTTAGGGGTGGGTTGAAGATTAACGTATGCTCGAGTTCTCTTGGTAGGAGCTTTCTTCCTATGCAGGCCTTTAGAGAGCTCAGTCCGCATAGATGGGACGGCTCGCAACAA